GCGAGCACCTTAATAATCGATTTTTTACCATAATTTCAAATGGCATAACAATCGATACATCGCATTTCACGCCACGTTACTGCAGCTGTATAACTTCGGAATGCTCTAAACTGGCTCGCGTTGCAGATCGTTGCAACTGTGATGCATTTAATGCCGGTTCAAAGGGTTTAGCGAGTCCCTGATAGCTCGTTATGAATGAATGACCACCTCGGGTGACAAGTGTGATGCCAAGCGGCACGCATCTTTGCACATTGTAACGTTGATGATCACCATGGGTGTGAGCTGTGCGAGCTGCGTGCGCAGTGACTTATTCGCTCGGTCAACGATTCTCATTCATTCACGAGCAGATGCGCTCCGCTAATTTAATTACCCATCGAGTAATCCACTATCTCACAGAGTTGCCGCTTATAGTAATTTATTATTATTATTATTATTCTCCCCAGCGGTAACAACTCTGAGGAAAGAGCCACCAAACACACTAAACACATTAAATACATCAAACACACCAAACACAACAAACACACCAAACACATCAAACACACCATACGCAAAAAACACACCAAACACATGGCCCACACCAAACACATGAAACACACAAAACATATCGTGCAAATCAAACACGTTAAACACATCGAACAGACCAATCACATCAAATACACCAAACATATCAAACACAGCTAAATTGATAATAAATGTGATGTTCTCAACATGAATTGACAGAATCTACGAGGGGGTTGAGCCGCGGAGCGGCCAGTGGGCGGAGCCCTCTAGTTTATACATAACGTGCAGCCACTCTCTTAGAGCTCTCCGACACTCTGCGATACCTAACCACCACAGCACCGTGTTCTTTCGAAGTCCTTCAGGGAGTTTGCACTTCTTCATTTCATTTAAAACCCCCGGAGTTTGCACTTCTTCATTTCATGTAAAACCCCTGAAGTTTGCACTTCTTCATTTCATGTAAAACCCCTGGAGTTTGCACTTCTTCATTTCATGTAAAACCCCTGGAGTTTGCAATTCTTCATTTCATGTAAAACCCCTGGAGTTTGCACTTCTTCATTGCATTTATAACCCCATATCGCCAGCCTCTCACTGGGAGTCCTCTTCGCTTTCTCGAAGGAGCAACAATCAAGCAACTTCTTCAGCAATCATTCCTCCGTCATCCTGTTGACATAATCATACCCTACAAGCTGTTTGGTCATTATGCCGAATGAAGCATCCATGCAAACAAAATTCAGTTTTAAAATAAAATTGAACTTCAGGGGCCGTTCAAGTATCAGGTAAGCCACTCAAGGACGAGGAACACTTGCCTTACAGGAATTTACGGGGTGGGGATGTTGAGCCTAGTCTTCAATAAGCCATCAACTTTAGGAAAAAAATAATGTTCTCTCTCAGGATTTCTCTATTATTTAATGAAAAACTAAGGAAAAGGTCAGGCCTATTTCATGTAATTAACGTGTCTCCTGATACAAACCAAGCGATAAAATATTCTTTTACCGAAGTTTTGGGTCATTGTAGCCAAATTTTAGTCACCTGAACCGAAGTGCGATTTCTATGACCGAGAACCTAAATTACACGAATCCAAAAAAAATTGTGTCCAATAGGGACTGGATTTTTTCTCTTTCGCAGAAAATAGCACGACATTTGTGTACAGAAATAGAGTTATTGCATAAAACGCTGAACAAATGTAACATTTAGACCTGTGATCCTGAACCCGTTTCATAATAACCACGTACCGAACTTAACCCGTAACCCAGGGTCAAATCCAGATCTCGTTTGCCACGCGCGGAATTAAGTTAGTGATTAAGAGCGAAGTTTTTGAACTTTGAAGAGGAGCGTGGTGCAACGGGCAGCGGTCACTCCCAATAAATTAAAGACTCATCAAGGAGCCGCCATCAAAATCGATGAATGCGTTTTGACTCAGGACGAAATCAAATCCAAGTCTTAGGTGCCCACTATAATGGGCGTTTGATTATGCGTGCATTAGGTTTTTCTCCCTAATTTTCAGTGAGTGCGTTAGCGTGGGTCGCCGGACCGGGCTAGTCTCCACGGCCACTCGAAGAGTTGATTTTCCGTTCGCATTAATTTTGATTACGATCGCAACTCTAAAGATGCTTAATGGCTCCTTTTTGTGACGATGCAACTGTCAAGTCTGAAATACTCGCAGACTACTGATGTTGCAATAAAAAAAGCGTTTACCTAGATTCTGGCGATTCAGGACGTTCACTGAAAAAAAATTCTCGGCGTTTTTACCAAGGTCCGTTGGTACCTTTACCATCTCACTTTTTTACCAAGACAGACTGGTAAGCTTACCTAAAAACCGGTATTAATATTGTTTTTACAGGTAAGAATACCACTTTTATTGGTAATCAATTCCCGGTAACTTTGCCATTTTATCACGGTAATTCTACCACGATCGATAAAAAATATTGGCGTTTTTACCGGGGTCCAGTAAAATTACCGAGAAAGTCAATATTTTAACGAGATTTCTCGGCAAAATTACCAATTCCATAAACGGCAATTTTACCAAGAAAAAATTGGGATCAAATAGAACCCTGAATTCTTGGTAATTTTATCCTTTTCTTAGTAAATACACCGAGATTTTTTTTCAGTGTTGTGTAGTATTTTATTTACTCCCTTATTGATTTGTTTTTTCCGTATTAAAATAGGTATGGATTAAATTGACGGCCAATAAGCCCAAGGTTCTATTCTTATTGCTGGAATAACCATCACATCTCCTGATTAAACTCAAAGTTTCAAATGGACCGAGTTTATCAGGAAGGAACCAACCCAAATTTTCGAAAGAATTGAGCTAAGATAATTTTGAGTTTCACAACCCGTACATATTCTCCTGCACAAAACTGAAAGTCTAAAAACTAAAATTGTTTCGTGCGGAGGGGGCTTTAAGTTTACTTTTTAGATCGAGCCTCACGGAGGAGAAAAACTTCAAACCTCTTTTTCTCAAATTCAACTTAACGTGGGTTGGTTCTCGCAATTGCTCACAATTTTTCATTCAATCAATTTGATCAGAAACATATTTTCAAAAATTAATCAAAAGCCATGAAATATTAGGAATTGGTCCGAGACCAAAAAAATGAAATTATAAATTTGAAACCATGTTTAAAACTGAAGGACTCAAAGGTTGTATTCTCATCAATCTTAGAGCGTGTCTGATTTGATGTTTGGAAAATTTCCGATACTTAGTACAATAAAACAAAAAACGTGTCAAATTGTTTTAGTCTTAAATACCCGATGTATTTTGAACTTCACAGGGAACTTTTCAAGATTTAAGAATGAATATGTTGACAGATGCATAAGTAGGTATGAAATGTGCTTGCTCAAAATCGTGTACTTGAATGCATGCTGAGTCGGTCGAAATTCTCCTAAAGATGGGATAAGACTCTTTTTTTTTCATACAAGGAACCACCGAAGAAAATGAAAAAAAAAAACAACAGGAAAAAACCTTTTTGAGTTACTTCTTACTGAAACTAACGACTGCTCTCTATCACTGCAGGCTGTCAGTTTTATCTAAAAATTGGTGGAATAATGCTAAGGTTCAAATTTGTAGGGATAAAAGAGAGAGATATTAAATGTTTTTTATCGGAATTAGATTAATCTTTCTAGAAACGAGAATAAGTTCTTGGGCCTTTTTTGTTTTAGTATTATTCGTATAAAAATAGTTCTATTCGGTGATATTCAATGCGTTAACTAATCTTGCTTGTTGAAATGTAACCATCTCTCCTGCATTAAGTAATTTGATTAAAAAAGTCAAATATGAGACGGTTAAGTTCAATAAGCTGACCATTTGTCTTTTCAAAATAAAACTTGCAAATTAAAAGAAATCTAAACGCTCATGCTCCATAAAGAAAAATCTAAGATTGATACTCTGCATAACAATATGATCTCATTTTTCATAAAGTTTAAGGAGAGTTAAACTAATTCAAAATACTACTAATATTTATGCTGAAGTTTCTGTCAATAATGCTCTAAAGAAGATGAAGTTTGCTGTTGGATTAAGCACTTTGAAAATTGTACTAGATAAGTTGAATTTATTATTTAGCAAAAATTAAATTGACGAGAATTAAGTACAAAATACGTGTCTTTCGTCTCGGGACAGTGAATATCACTTCGTCAAATGAAAGATCTAAGTAAGCAAACTTACGATTATCAACTTTAACAATTTTCGCGAAACAATACATCAAACTTTAATACGGTTATTCGGGTTTAATTTACCACGCGCTCTTTACATATTTTTAACAGAAAAGAAAGGTGTAACGATTTAACTTTTAGTTACTTGGACTACACTAATTCTATCAAAACATTTTGGTCGCTTATGCTTAACACTATGGCTCAGCATTTTTTTCTCCGTACACAATCAAATTTCATTGAAGGCGGGTTGTGCTAGAATGGAAACCGAATCCACAATTATCAAGATAAACAATTATCGCAAAATTACACGTCAAAATCCACTGGAAAAAAACACATTGGATCTAGAGTCCTGACTCTTGGAAACATTGACAAGAAAAAATACTCTTGATTCAATCGGATTTTTGCTTAAATCAAAAGGAAGTCCGCTCAAATTAAGAGGCTTGGTTCCTGATTTAAGCAAAAATCCGATTGAATCAAGATTATATTTTCTTGTCGATGTTTTTAAGAGTCTGGACTCTAGATTCAATTTGTTTTTTTTCCAGTGTTTGATAAGGTTATCATTTTATCACAAAAACTACGCTGAATCAACGAAAAAACCTATTTTCGGCTAACCTCAGCATTTTTCCCCGAGTACACCATAAAATGCGATCCAACGGCGGCTGCACAAGAATGGGAGCAAGATCGCACCCGGGTAGTCTCGCCTGCGGAGCGTGAAAAATTTCAGCTACGCAAAGGTCACCGAAACTAGATCCGGTCCGTGCACTGCGGGTTGCTTAGCCGGCTTTTTAGTGGATGTTCAGGCGGGGGAGGGGGGGATCTTGGAGCTGCTCATCCCCCGAAGCCTCGGTGTCATCTTGAGTATATAAGCCACGGTCTTCATCCCACAGAGCATTAGTCGCTCGTTGTGTCTTCCTCTTTGCACATCCTTCGCCCCAATCAACCAGCCATGGCTTTCGTTAAGGTAACCGCTCAGTACACATCTCACGTGGTTTTTCTCAGTGATTATTGGTGCTCTGTTCAACAGATTTCCCTGCTGTTTTTCGTAATTTTTTTACATTTTCGGAAAATTTTCCGCCCGGTCTTCGCGTTTTCCGATCTCCTGACGTTTTCCCGAGGTTTTCCATCGACTGAGTGCACGCAATTATTTTCAATCGTTCCGATTTCATCGCGACTGCGTGAAACTAGAAAAGCCTGTTTTTTGATTAGTATCTCTTCAAATTTTTTGAAACGGTTGCTTTTCATGATATCGACTGTGAAAATGCGAAAACGCGAATCTTGGTTTGCGGCCTTGTTGACTTTGTCTCACTGTGTTTGTTCCAAATAGACAGATAATAGTATCTTGAAAATTTCGTTTTTTGTGTAAAAAATACTTTGTGAAATTTCAAGCAGTGGTGTTGATGATTCGGCTTCCTTTGACGTAATAAAATGACACCGATGATTTTGAAATGCCGCAAATGAGAGGCGCGTTTTTGCAGTTCCATCGTTGATGCGAAAAATAAAACTTCTTGATAATACTTTAAAAGAGTGGACTTGATAATACTTAAAAAGAGTGGACACATCTCCGTTTAAAAAACTCCGACTGTGTGTTATATCTTTTCAATATAAAACGTACCGAAGTATTCCCTTAGACTTGTCTTTGAACAATTTTGAATGAGTGAAAAACTGTTCTGGATCTCACCTATTCATACCCCGATTTTGGTAAATTAAAATTTCTTCTAGGGGCACATCAGTCATAACGGACGCACAGTCGTGTAAAAAAATAGAACAAAAATTCCACCGTTAAAAAAAAAAAGGAAAATGAAAGTGGCTGTCATATTTGTTTTCTTTTTAAGATAAAAATAATACTTAATAAAATATATTCTAAGAAATTTGAAACATCGCAATTCAGGTACAGGTTTTCTAGCTTCGTCGGTCAATAAGCTATCAGGGCATTATGCGACTGCACGATTTATAGTAGTGACTTTAACGCTCGTATAGCAAGAAAAACCGGCCGCTACCTGCGGTACCAGAGGCTTTGGGCACTGAAACCCGTGCGTTTTCTTCTAAAATAATTGAGATTCTACATGCATTTAGGGCATTTTGCCATGCCTCAGTGTTCAAGACTCTTTTTTAATACTTTTCACTTTTCAATGAGGCAAAAAGCCAGTGCCGCGTGTCTGTAATACATGTATTTTATCATTTTTTAAAATTTCACTATGAAGAACCATTCCAAATTTTTTCCATCTCCAAAAATTTATTAGATAAATATGGGCTCTAAAAAACTAAGAACAAATGAACGCTCTCGTCCCACGTAATGTTGTGTCTGAGTGATTTTCGTTTCCTCTCCTTTTTAACAAACTTTGAACTCGGCCAAAACAATGAAATAATCTGTGTGCATTCAGTATACATTTTTACAATGTTGCTTAGGGCTAGTCTCTTTTAAACCTCAAAAAGTATCTCTTAAATTAACATGTTCACCAACTTCGAATGTATTTTGACTCTTTCCTTCTTCTATTTTTCCAAAAAAAATGACTCATTCGCGCTTTAATGTATCAAAAGCTCGAAGAAAAATGTCTCCATATAGTTACCTACAAGAACGTACTGCTATTAATTTTCTGGGCGGATTGCTTTTTGAGACAAGCGGAATTCTCGCCGTCCCAATTGGATTCTGATTTATGTAATAGAAACAGATCGAGCATTGAGGTATAGTCTCAGAATGAAAGTTGAGAAGTAAATTATTAAAGTGGCTCTCTTGGGCACTTGCGAGCACCGATCACTTACCAAGCATCACATCAAAGTGTAGTATGCTAAGTGTTTGTATTCAAAATTTGACCGAGAGAATTTTGAAATAGTTTTGAACCTCAGCCTCGAATGAATTTTTAGCAAATCAAAATGGGAAACGATTTGCGATATTGCGTCGGGACGTACTTGCAAAGTTATTTCAAAGTGTTTCTTAGTCAAATATTGAGTACAAATACCTGACGCTCTGTACCGCGGTGTGAAGCTCGGAACTTCTAGAGTAATGCTCTAAAATCAAGAAAGCATCTTTTGATCAATTGACTATCGAACCTTCGAACCTTCGATTCAATCGAAATTTTATCCCAATTTATCTTAATTTTTTGTTGGATAACATTGCGAAAAAATCGCAATCGATAAAATCACGACTTCATTGTAAATTTATTCGATGAAATCGCAATTTTTCAACGTACTATTTTGCAATAAAGCGACATCGATCAAATTGCGATACGTTCTCTGATCAAATTGCAACTTATCGCGATTACCACTTGGAACCCTTCTTCTGAGTGCTGTAAACCAGGATGGCATGAAACGTGAGAAAGAAAAGAAATATTGGCAATTTCAGTGAAATATTTCATGACATTTTACGATGCTGTGAAATATTTCATGAAATTTCACGAGGCTGTGAAATGTTTACCCGCATTCAAACAAAAAGTAGAAGAAAGTCGCAATTTTTACATTTCGCGAAACATGAAACGGAGCCGGTTTTTTTCAATATCTCATATGAATTTTTGAAATTTCATGAAATATCTCACCTGAAACTTCAAGATTTTATTTTTCACAAACTGATTGCGGCAGACGCACGGATCTGCAAGTTGAAATGTTTTTGGCCAACGTGCATTAAAAATCAGCATAAAGCTGACAATCTCGATTCAGAGGGAACAAGCTCATATGAGCTCAATTTTCCCTCAAAACTGTGTTGCACCAAACAGCGTATCTCTTCGAAGGAAAATTGTGCTCATATGAGCTTGTTCCCTCTGTATTGAGATTTTCACCTTTACGCTGATTTTTAACGCACATTTGCTAAATATCCCAATCTAAAAAATCCCTCAAAACTGTGTTGCACCAAACAGCGTATCTCTTTGAGGGAAAATTGTGCTCATACGAGCTTGTTCCCTCTGTATTGAGATTTTCAGCTTTATGCTGATTTTCAACGCACGTTGGCTAAAAAATCCCAACTTACCATTTCCTTTTCCATGAAATTTTGAGCCAATCAGAAAAATTTTCCTCCGCGAGTGAATCACAAAAATCAAGAATTCCAGACCTCTAACCTTTAACCTTTAAGCTATAACCTATTTCCATCAGACCCGATGCCAGCTTTACAATCCGTCTCCCGCAGTCTCCTGGTTTAAGCAGTGCTTATGTCACTGCAAATATTTGTTATAAAGTTACAATAAAAAATTGTGCTCATATGAGCTTGCTCCCTCTGTATTGAGATTTTCAGCTTAATGCTAATTTTTGGCTAAAAAATCCCAACTTACAATTTTCTTTTTCATGAAATTTTGACCCGATCAGAAACATTTTCCTCCGAGCGAATCACAAAAATCAAGAATTGCAGACCTCTAACCTTTAACCTTTAAGCTAACCTATTTCCATCAGATCCGATGCCAGCTTTACAATCCGTCTCCCGCAGCCTCCCGGTTTAAGCGGGGCTTATGTCACTGCAAATATTGAACCAGGCGTATCAATTAAAATCACACGCGTCAGCCATTATATAAACGGGGACCCTGTCAGCCGGCTCAAAGCGCTCTCTTTTCGAGCCCATTGTAGCGACGAACGCGGGTTCCATTCTGCCGTGATAGCGAAAAAAGCAGTAAGTGCGTGCTTGCATGGACCTTGAGACACATAAAGGCGTGTGCTAACCATGGCTCATGCAGAAATGGACTTACTGCTCTCTTCGCTATCGCGGCAGCATTACGTGCCTCCGCTGTAATTACCATGCCACAGTCCCGCGCTGCACTTTTAAAATTCAGGGCGGTTCTTCCATCTTCGCCAAGATCCGAGCGTCATTTCAAAGGCCCCAACGGAGGCAGGACGCCAGTCATCAGCTTCGATTACTTGGAACTTTAGTGGGCCCCCGAAGCCAGTGTTGCGATGTTTTTGATCGGGACTTCACCTTGATTTCAAAGGGTGGGTGCCCATGAGAGCCTTTTTTGTCCCTGTGTACGGAGTTTTTAAAGACCCCACACTGAAAAAAAAAAAATCTCGGTGTATTTACTAAGAAAAGGGTAAAATTACCAAGAATTCAGGGTTCTATTTGATCCCAGTTTTTTCTTGGTAAAATTGCCGTTTATGGAATTGGTAATTTTGCCGAGAAATCTTGGTAAAATTATTGAACTTTCTCGGTAATTTTATTGGACCTCGGTAAAACGCCAATATTTTTTATCGACTGTGGGAGAATTACCGAGATAAAATGGCAAAGTTACCGGGACCTGATTACCAATAAAAATGGTATTCTTACCTGAAAAAACAGTAAAAATACCGGGTTTAAGGTAATTTTACCAGTCTGTCTTGGTAAAATTACCATAATTGGTAAAAAAAGTGAGATGGTAAAGGTACCAACGGACCTTGGTAAAAACGCCGAGAATTTTTTTTCAGTTCAGGGCGCCAGTCATCGGCTTCGATTACTTGGAACTTTAGTGGGCCCCCGAAGCCAGTGTTGCGATGTTTTTAATCGGGACTTCACCTTGATTTCAAAGGGCGGCTGCCCATGAGGGCCTTTTTTGTCCCTATAGGTATGGAGTATTTAAAGACCCTAATAAATAGAAATTTAGTATTTAAAAACTCCAATAAATAAGGTCAGTAGCCCAAATGTTGCGGTACTGCTCTAACTTGAGTTTCGATACTATCACATTTAATTGGAAATTTACGTATCATCCAACAAATTGGGGTAGTATCACAATTTTAGGGAATCACTCCTAACGCATTTCTTCCCGTGACGTGTAACGCATAAGCGCGCCGCAAGATGTCGTATACAGTAAAAAACAAACACATTTTTACCTTTGGCAACCCTTAAGAGCCCCAGAACCAATGTTCGTTTGTTAGAAAGATTTCGTAGCAGAAATTTTTTTTTGCAGACGTTTAGAGAGGCTACAGTGAAATTTGAGGTTTATCTTGAAACCACAGTAAACTGAAAATAAGTGGGTTCTTTCAGATGTCCTCTTTTGTTTGTTTGATGAGTGCCCCGATTTGAATAAATAAAAATCTTGGGCAATGTACAGATGCTATTGAATGCAAGCTCACCGTCATTTAATTATTACGTAAACAGCTGTGAAAACAAAATATATATCTCTCAATGTTGATACCAGTTTTCCCCGTAAAAATAGCTTAAAACTAGAATAGCCACGTTTCCGCGTATGTGAGGAGGACCTCGTCTCTGAGCTAATCCAAGCGTGTGCCATTTGACAATTTTTTCGCAAATAAATGAATAAAAAAAAAATAATAATAAACGGATCGCGACAATAACACACGGAAAACCAGTAAACCCGTTTTTCCACGAATTATGGACGGAAATTTCTTACTTTCATTTGTTTTCTTAAATTATTCCCCTCTTTTTTGTGTGAATTTCGTTCGAATAAATGTATTCCATATTGTCTCTGCTTATCTTTTTTTCTATATCGTAAGGAAAAATACTTTAAAACTTTTAGTACAGAATAAACTTCACAGTTTAGATCGAATGTTTTCCGTCGCTCCACAGTAGTAAGGGTATATCTCTATTTCCACTGTAGCCCCGATAAACTTAGTTACACGTAGCCTAGGGCTTGTGTCAAAATAGAGAAGCGCCCTTACGTTGTAGGAGCGACGCTTTGTGTAGATTATATAATATATAACAATGTAAATCCAAGCCAGATCAACTGAAAATTGGGGATAAATATTTGCCCTTTGGAAAATCTTAATATTAGTCTTAAGCAAGATCATAAAGTACAATTTTATGAGCCGGCCGGGCTCCCTTCTTCTATCGATTTCTCATAATCGAGATGACTCATCATCTTTTCTTCAAGACATCCGGCGAGCTAGGAAAATAAGTAGGCAAATATAAATAAAACACGATTATGAAAAGTCAGAACCTAAATAATTTGTATGTTAATAATGTCAATGTCAAACTGAAATAGGTTAATTTAAAACTTATATGTATATTTATGGAACCTCAAACCAAAGAAAATTTTCCAGCCCTACTTTAGTGTTACCAAAGTTAAATGAATTATGTCAAAATTTTCCTCATGGGGTCATCTCAAAAAATGTCACATGTCCAGTTGACCTTAAAATATTACCTGTCCGTAAAACTTCCACAATCGGAAACCGCTAAATATTCGTAATCCTCCAAAAAATGTATCTTTTGTTATCAATGTTCTACTCCTCATACACAAGACTATTAGTGTCGCCCGCGTTTAACATGAACCAGTTACTGTCGCGTAATTTTGACTCATTAAATTTGCTTCAATTTTATCGAAATTAAATCCCTCAACAGTTTAGTATAATTTTGTGTCTTCTTCTTGATGCCCTCCTTCTTTTTCTTCTCAGTTCATGGAGCTTTGCACCGTGGTTTTTGCCGTTTCAATTGTATTCACAATCAGGTTGCTTTTATTCATACACACGCCAGCGCTATCTGGTGTTCATCTTTGATTATTTTCCTGGCTAACTGTCAAGAACTGTTGGCCCTTACACTTTGCCAAAAAAATTGTTGTGTCTCAATGTTGCAATTTTAAGCTTATCAAGCTTTTACCCACCCGCGCGCCTGTCACTATTGCTCAGTGAGTGCCATTCGCCCAGTTAAGTAGTCCACACTTCAAAGCCAATTAATACTCTATAGACTTGGAATTGCCTTTCTACGACGCTAATGTAGGACCTTTTTCTAAATTAAAATTTGAAGAGTATTTTAAATCGAGATGCTTTTAAAAAAATGACCTTAAAATTTCCATCATTACTGAACAAGGAACATTTTCAATCCAAAATGACGTCACTAAAGTCGGTTTGCAGCCTTGAGTGTCGCTGACGATGCACTGAATAAATGGTTAAGAAGCCTTTTCACATGAACACAAAATTCTCTCTCATTCAAAGAAAACCTTTTAAGGATTTTTTTTTTTTTTTTTTTTTTTTTTTTTTTTTTTTTTTTTTTTTTTTTTTTTAGCAATTTTGTGAGGGCGATAAATGTGTAATTCAAATGAGTTTTTTCCCGTATTCAAATCAATTATACTTTGCCATCGTTTACATATTTCATTTTCTTTGAATTAAAAAAAAGTCAATTCGAGTTTTAAAAAATTATTTCATTCGATTAGACTTTCCATTAAAGAAAAAAAAGAAACATTTACCCCGATACAAATTTTTCCAATAAAAAAAGGAAAATAAAATAGTTTATTTTCTAGGTCATCTCCAAATTTCTAGTCTCCATAAATTGCGTTTCTCTCCATATCAATAAAACTCTGAAGTGATTTCGTTGGAATTGTTTAATTAATTGCCTTAGTGTAATAATCTATGAGAGTTTTTCTTGTCCTTTTAGAGTCGATTTTTGAATAATCGTTCCACAGATTAATTATTTATCTTCCAGATTGAATGCATAGACGTTACTTGCAATTTGACAAATTAATGCCATTTTTAAACTAAATTTTTATCAATTTAGTAAAATTAATCAATTTTTTTAACTTCAAAATTTAATGTTAACTCATGCATGCAAAACTAATTCAATCGATCAATGATGGTTTCTTTGAAAACATTTCGCAGCGGTTTTCTTCGCGGGGCTGTTTAGGCGTCATCAGCACGGAATCTGACTTATGAAACGTAGAGAGCAGCCCATAGGTAGTTAATGACAACTTATGTAACATCTCTTTACTCCGGTTAAGGAGGATCCCAGATCGTCTGAAATATGAGTCGGATGATAATACAATTTTGTGGGACACAAATCTAATTCGAATTGCAACGGTGCTATACTCTCTGCCCGGCGTTTTCCTCCTTTGCAGCGTTGTCAGCTAATCGTTGGAACGCAGGTCCAGTGTGGGTTTACTTAGACAAATTAAAAATACTTGTAGTTTCGTTGGGGTTAAACTTTCCATTCATCGATAAAGACATATTTTAATATCTTGGGTGGACAGCAACTCAGTTAATTATACGATTCGAAAAAGAAGAGAAAAAAAAATGAGTAGCTAATTCGTCCTATGTTCTGATGAATCGGAAAAATTGCTAAATCCAGACGTACTCGCTCCTCAAAAGACTGGCTGTCAGCGGCTGTTATTAGTAGTTGATATTTACCGCTTGCAATGAGGACCCACTATTTCTGGCCCATTTTAGAAACAACAAACTTGCCATTGGTTTCCTTATGCAGGTATGTGCTTTTATGGGAGAGCTAGAGATAGTGGTTCCTTACTGCAAAATGAAATCCATATCTAGTTTCGCAAATTAAAAAAGACGTCGTCCTACGTCAAAAAGCTTTTTTTTTTTTTTTTGTAGTTCACTTGGCAATGAATATTTTCGTCAAGTTAAAGCGTTGTTGACTCTATAGTTGGGCCCTTTTTAAGTTTCTATCCTGTTGTTCGATATTGATCTGATAGAAATCCTTCCATCTTAAATGTCAGTGAAGGGAACTTTCAATTTCGAAGTTTGAACTCAGCCGAAAACTTGCAATTGCTCACTGGTTGATCGTTGAGCAACATGTAACGGCTGAGAACTTGGACTACACATTGCAAAAAAGAACCTTCATTTCCGGCTCATTTCAGAAACAACATAATGCACCATTTTGTTTCCTCAAGGGATGAGCCAAAAAAAGTGGTTCCTCGTTGCAAAATGCAGTCCATTTAATTTTCCCCAATCGTTTGCCTTCTCATCGCATATTATTTTGTGATTCCATGCCCCTCTTCTTCATCTCACGCCAAAGTTTCACCTCTTCCGTTTCCTCTGTTCCTTCCGGGGAAATGAAGTTATTTCCTTTTGACTCAAAGTAAAGAGCATAATTTCGGCATCTCCGCTGACCTGTGCGCACACGCACGGCTCATTACTCACGGCTGCGCTTCCCGCAGCTTCCACTCAGCTGTAATTCATGACACGCAAGCTGTTGGAGCTTTGACAGGAACTTAACCATTAATCCATCTCTATCCCAGTCTAAGTTAGTGCAAGTAGGAAAATACGACAAAACATGAAACTAGCGGGTCAGTCGGCAACGAGTATCTTTTCCTGATTGAGAGAACCAGCTAAATATTCCAGGGGTAGTAACCCTTTCAATTATTTTCCATCGGTGTCTAACTCCCTAGCCCCTCACATCAGGAACATTTAGATAAAACTTCAGGGAAGGATTTATTATTGCATTGATAAATGGGGAGCTTTGATACAAGTTGCCTTATTGTCGGTGAATTTTCTCCAATTTTGAAGAAGATTTTGCTCTGCAAAAAGTAATTTTGAGTTTTTCTTTTTCTCGGTATCAATTTCAAAAGTTTTTGTAGAGATGAAAGAAACAGGAGATAGAATAACAACTTTTCAACAATTGACCTATTCTTCAACGTCAAAATAAGTCCCATAATTTTTAAGTAAGAGTGTAGGGTTACAAATGGACATATTTATGCTAAAAGAAATTATTTGCGTAGAGTTTGCGTGCAACATAGTTCTTTTCAGCATGAATACGTTCAAATTATTCTTGACGTAGTCGTCGACTTGCCTAACATGCTGCTCACACTAGTTATAAAGTTAGACGCTTTCTTTAAAGGTTCTTCTCCTAGAAAATATGAAAACAGGCTCTTATATGTCTTTCAATGCACAACTCTGCAGTACCAACTAAAATTAATGTAACTCAATTTACATTTTACACAATACTTTTGGGATGTCCCATTTATAATTCAATTTTTGTTGCACAGGTTCTCTCCGCCGTCACCCTCCTCGCCACCCTGGGATGCATGCAGGCCGCCCCTCAGTACGCCGCCTACCCGGCTGCCCCGTACGCCGCCTACTCCCCCGTGGCCGCCCCAGTGGCCCCCGTAGCCGTGGCTGCCCGCCCCTTGGCCTACGCCGCCCCCGCCGCCATCCCCAGATCTGCCGACCCAGAGCCCTACGACCCGAACCCATCGTACAACTTCGAGTACTCCATCAACGACGCCGTCACCGGTGACTCCAAGAGCCAGCGCGAGTCCCGCAACGGAGACACCGTCACTGGATCCTACAGCCTCGTCGAAGCTGACGGCACCCTCAGGACCGTCGACTACACCGCCGACTCCGTCAACGGATTCAACGCCGTCGTCTCCAAGAGCGGCACCCCAGTCGCACCAGCCCCAGCTGCCGCCGCCCCTGCCGTCGTTGCCGCCCGCACCGTCGCCGCCCCCGCCGTCGCCCCAGTAGCCGTCGCCGCCGCCCGCCCCGTCGCCTACGCCGCCCCCGCCTACGCCGCTCCCGCCTACGCTGCCCCCGCCTACGCCGCCCCAGCCTACGCCGCAGCACCCGCCTTCCGCGCCGCCTACGCTGCCGCCCCCGTCGCCTACGGAGGCTACGCCCACCCCTACGCCGCCGCCCCCGTAGCTCGCTACGCCGCCCCCGCCTACAGCCCCGCTGTCGGCATCGCCTCTACCTCCTTCTCCTCCCCTCACTCAAACTACGTCTACTAATTCTCGCCCCTCCCACCTAACTCTGACTTATATTAAGTTAACACTCCTCTGATCCTCTCCGGTGTTAAGCAAGTTTTATTGCTTATTGTGATGTCCGCAGTCTGACTGAAGTTACACCTCCTCACCACCCTACCTCCGTCTCTTTTCTAGATGTAGATTTTGTTTTCCGCGAATCTCTACTGTTTTTGTTACCATCGTTCTCGAAAGGGAAAAATACATGCCCCTTTAAGAAAAGAATTCTGTCGTTTTTTATTGCTGTTATTGCAGTTTCCTAGGAAACTGTTATTTACCCATGCAAAAGGTATTTTTTCCTCACCTGATGGCAAATATTCAAAGTATTAACATCGTAATGACCGTATTCGTGGAGCTGGAAATAAGCTACAAGATGATGAAACTAAATTTATATCCTCTAACTGAAGTAAAGGAGAAGTAAAGTTCGTAAATTTTTTCACTTTTATAATGTAAGAGACATTTCTCAACTGTCTCAAAAGTTTGCTGAAAATGAATTGAAACACCATTACCAGTTTAATTTCCTTTATAATTTCTGAAGTACTTAAGGGTAAAGTTGAACCTTAAAAATAGTGTTTTTAGAGGGAAATTTTTGTAATATTTAAAATTATTTAATTCATTTCTGCGATAATTCCAAGTAGACCAATCTAACCACCTTGGGTTTGTGCAAGCTGGAAATTCAACAATACGTAGACCTGTGGTCCAAACAGTTCCAAAGGGGCTGAGACGTTTTAATTGCAATTTTTCCCCGTTAAATCTGTTGAAATAGAATCTCGAGTATGCCAAACACGTCACGCAGTTATCGCGTGAAAAATCAACACCTTTTAAAAGGGTCAAATCGAATTCTNGGGGGGGGGGGGGGGGTTAGCTCCACCTCTCCGCGGCTCCCTCTACAGTTTCTCTCATTGGTGCGATCCATTGTACGCAAAATTTCTGAGAATGTCACGGCACCTTTTCGATCAACAAGTTTGCAGAGAAATGGACGATAATTAACGTGAACATTTCAGCAGTCAACTTGACGTGAAGATTCGCAACCAAAACTTTTTCAGACCTCGTAAATTACGCTCTCAGTCTTGTTGTGAGTCATCTCGGATACCTTTGAGCAGAGCGTTCGGTGTCTGTGGCGGTCCCCGATTCTGCTCCTTTGATTTATTTCCAGGATTTTAGATTGATTGCGGGCAAGCATAGCGTTGAAAAGTGTCTGGTAATGTACCGTATTAGGATCGCATCCGCAACAGTTAGGTGAGTAATTTATGCCGTGAATTTCATCGCACTCGAGAAGTCATAAGAGAGCAATGACTTTTGCAATTTCATGATCTGCTAAAAAAAACTGGAGTGTCATGAGGACTTGGTACGTTAAATAGCAGCAGGGACACACGCAATATTTAGACAGTTAGGTGTGAGACAATGCATAATATTCATCGTGCTATTGAAATATGCTCATGCTGGTTGCTTCGATATAGATTTGGTACACTGGGAAAAAAAACACATTGGATCTAGAGTCCAGACTCTTGAAAAAATTGACAAGAAAAAATTAAGAGGCTTGGTTCTTGATTTAAGCTAGATTCTGCGATTGAATCAAGAGTACTTTTTCTTGTCGGTGTTTTTAAGAGTCTGGACTCTAGATCCAATGTGGTTTTTTTCCAGGGTATATTTGGATTACATTTCGCAGTAAGGAACCACTGTCTCCGGCTCTCCCATAAAATCACATTTAGCTGCATAAGGATACCAATAATGCCATAGTGTGTGTTGTTTCTAAAATGGGCCAGAAATAGTGGTTCCTTTTTGCAAAATGTAATCCATTCGTGAATCAGTGCACTCGAAGCGGACAGATGTATATGCGTTTGTACAAAATCAGCCTAACAGCATTTAATGATGCCTAAAATATCCGTCTCAGATTTAATTTTCAATAGTACACTAGAGTAATCGCTAACATTTATATTTTGTTTATAGGAGTTGATCTCAAGATTCTTAATTGTGTGACTCATTTTCCTTTTGCATATTATTTCCGAGAAGCAACGGGTATTTTTTCAACAAAACAAGGAATTCAGGGAAACGTTTCATTCTTGCGTTGAATTCGATTCTCCTTGATAAATGCAGTTGACTAGACGATAGGTATTCGTTCAATGAATAAAAAATAAATTGGTCCCTCGCAGTAGGTGCTGATCTTGCAAACCAGCAGCAGCAAAATTTTCGTCGCTACTTTTCTACGTTCGCGTTAAAGTCTCTGTATCAGGACCACTCACACCAATGTTAAGCTTCTTTTGTGGGCTTAAGATGACGTAACCTGTTTTTCTTCCTCGTTTCATTTTTCCAACAAGAAGTTAAAGAACTCAATGCAACTCTCCGTGAATTTCCCTGCGATTACCAGGAAAATTTCAAGTAAATATGGACGGATTTAACCAAAATTAGCCTAACTGCATCAGTTTTGCTCAAATTTTCTCAGATATTTAATTGTCAAACAAAAAAGAAAGCAACACAGAAACTTGAAATTTTGTGAGTGTATATTTCATAACTTAAGGTAAAATCACAGAAAGTTCAAAGGGGTCAAGTGGTTTAGTTCTCTGTTGAAAAAACAGACCACGAGAGGAAACTATAGGCAACGTGAGATAAAATTTGGCTAATTTTAGTTAAATCCGTCTATATTTTCCTTAGTTTTCTGTTGAAAAATAAAACACAAGAGGATATTACAATACGTACGATGTAGTTAGGCCCATTTTGCCGAAATCCGTGCAGTTATCAAGGCATTACACTGANATTCAACCAAAATTAGCCTAACTGCATCAGTTTTGCTCAAATTTTCTCAGATATTTAATTGTCAAACAAAAAAGGAAGCAACACAGAAACTTGAAATTTTGTGAGTGTATATTTCGTAACTTAAGGTAAAATCACAGAAAGTTCAAAGGGGTCAAGTGGTTTAGTTCTCTGTTGAAAAAACAGACCACGAGAGGAAACTATAGGCAACGTGAGATAAAATTTGGCTAATTTTAGTTAAATCCGTCTATATTTTCCTTAGTTTTCTGTTGAAAAATGAAACACAAGAGCATATTACAATACGTACGATGTAGTTAGGCCCATTTTGCCGAAATCCGTGCAGTTATCAAGGCATTACACTGAAAGCGCGCAGGTCGGTGACCGAAGACGGTACAATAATCTGCCGAAGGAAATACGATCGAATTACTGTGACAAATCGTTGTAACTTCTTCGGTTGCCGATTTTTGCGGCGAATTAGGGCGCCTTGAGTGAAATACATTCAAACAGAAAAAAATGTCCCTTTAGTCGGAAAAAAATGAGTCAGGAGCAGTTTTTAGCTAAACTGGCTACTCACTCTCTCCTGTCAAGAATTCAAAGTCAAGGAAAAATGTTGTATATGTGAAGATCAGCGTTGAACTTTAGGTATTCGCTCTTTTGGAGGAATACATCTTCAAACTTCTTTTCCGATCCCTCAGTTTGTTCGCGATATGGTTTCTTTCTATTTCATCTTGTTTAATTCATTGCTGGTTTCTTGAGCTCACAAGAAAATTTTGGAAGATTTTCTGAATATTAATTGAATATATTAACAATCAGATTCCTCCGAAAAAAGAACATCACGAATCGCTAAATCGTCACTCATCTTTGTTCTTCTATCATGAATCATTCTAACTATATCGTCGCCTCTGTAACGTTATAAAGGCGCATATCAATTTCCAGATGAGCCGCGGAAAGTGTGAAGTTATATGAACAATATGTCTCGCGTGGAATTTTAGATACGCCCTTGCGTCACAGGAGCAATGAAATATCACCCATATTAAGAGTGTATCTTTTTTTTAAATTAAAGGAGTTATATTTTTTTTTCAAACTGAAATTCAATCAGAATGGAGAATTTGCAAGGGTCTGAAATTTGATGAATTCCGTAATGAAGTGGAATCTACTGAGTGAACTGAACACGAAGATACCCTTGATTCATAAATTGAATAACTATTAGAGGAGATATGACAAAACAACCGATTCTGCCAAAATACATGTGTTTAAATGGGAAATGCCGCCAGATGACGTCACAAGGCGGCAAATGTTCTCAATTTTAAATCAATTTTTCTCCAATTTCTCATGTCAGAAAAAAGTTATGAAAAATACTGCGAACTCAGCTTATTAGGCACTTTCAGATGAAGCAATAAAATTTTTGTGTGCAAATTCTACATTGCTTCAATGCAGCTCCAAGGCTTGCCGCAATATTTGCCGGGGGCTCTAGGTCAGCCTCAAGTTTCTATCGATGTGTAAAAAATGTCACTCTCTGATAGGGTTCATCGATCGATAAGGCCGGTGCAGTTGCACGGAGTTAACAAAACCATCTATTCGCACTTTCGATTTGAGCCGCTCGTCACCTAAGAACACGCCCTCAGCACGTATCACAGAAAGTTCTACTTGGACTCCTTTGCTTAGCACTACCGGACCGGGCTGTTTCCACAAACCATACCACGGGTGTGTCAAGTTTATTAAAGTCCTCGGTCTGGATTATTTCACCAAAGGGAAGGGTACATGGCCCATGCATAGCATTTGAAACCATTATAACTGATTAATTGCATTCGCAAATGATGCAGTGCTTCGATCTGCAGTAGAGAGGGCCCGATCGAACACACTCTTTGTCTTATCAATGCATCAAGCGCTCTTTCCAAGGCAAGCCCCGCGTTGTCATTTAAGTCGAAATTAGTCATTTTCTGCGCGGTAATAGATTTAAATTGATCGCTACGAGGATATTGCGGAGTGAATAGACGTGGAAAAAAAAATGTAAAAAAAACTAACTTTGGTTCTTGTAGTGCACCAAACTTTCAGGTCTACTTTTTAAGTTTTTAGTTGTAAAAATCGCGGGTTCAGGTTCAGGTAACTAATATTTCTAGTCGCTATGCTGAGATGTTCCCAAAATATGTCTGCAAATCTATTCTATTCAAAACCATATTTTATTCTGAAGGCTTTTTTCATCTGAACCGAAATTCCATCTCTGCGACCTAGAAATTCTGTCACCTGATAAACGTAAAAGTTTGGTGTGGGGCATGAGAACCAAAGTTAGGTTTTTTAAAATGAAGTATGATTCCCCGTGTGTTTCCAATCGTTGTTTTTGATTCAGCAATTTTTGGCGTTGGATTTATATCATGAAAATTTAACTGATTTAAAATTTACACCTTGAAACAGATCTCGGAATTCTTGTGCTCTTAAGAAAAAATTCACGGGTGCACAAAGTTGCTATATAGTCT